ACTTTCACATACATCTCAGTTGATACTCATAACCACCCTTTAGGGAAAATAGGTATTATCCCCATCTTAAAGATGAAGAAATTGAACTTCAGAGTCGAATGACTTGCCAAAGTTCATACAGTGGTTCAATGTAGGAGGTGGGACTCAGTCCCAGGTTCTGTCCACACCACACTGGCCTCTCTAAAGGCCTAGACAGCAGTGTCCAGCAGTCTCATTACAAACTATACATCGCTTGGATAAAGCAAGGGAGGAGAGACACAAGGACTTGGGCCCTCCTTGGCCTTTTCCTAGGAACCTCTCTATATCTGCACGGCAGCCGTCTGTGCATAGGAGTATACATGTACACTGTGTGGACACCAAGCCCATGGTGTCACAAAGATGTACATAAAGGCACACAGAACCTGCTCAACAGGTGACAGGTCACTCCTCGTTACCAGAATGGTGGGAAAGCTGTACCTTTAGTTCAGGGGAGGCCTGAGAGTTCAGAACTCTGGGGGTCTGCTCTCTCCTAAATCTACAAGACTCATTAACCCTTCTCATGAAATTTCTAGAAGGGACAGCTCCTCAGTGCTTAGCAGACAAAAGAAATGAGACGGGAGGGCCTGGAAATTATCCGCATTGCCCTTGCTGAAGTAGAGACTAGGAAAGGGAATAATAGTGAAAAAGGGCATTCAGTCCTAAGATCAGAGAACTGGACCTAAATCTCAAGGAGTATCTTTGAGACGACTGCTGTCAAACCCAGGTCAGCCCTTGTTAAGTCAGTGTCTGAGCACTAGTAACACTACCAGCTATGTGTGCTTCAGCAGGTCATTCGCCCTCCCTGATTCAGTTTGCTTATCCAAAAATGTGGCTAATGACTCCTGGGGTCTAGCTCAGAGGGGATTTCAGTGGCATAAACTGAAATGCTTTAAAAATAAAATGTACTTTATGAACACTCTTTCATTCTCCCACAGCTGCCAAGGAAGAATGGCGGAACACACTTGGGGAGTAACCCATTGACTGTTTTCCAGGGCTTGCCAGCAAGGGGGAGTCAAACCAAAGGCTAAAGTCTCTTCAGGAAAAGCCAGGTTGCCCATGTTTGCTTGCACTTTTTTTTCATTTTACCAATAACATTTATCAAGTATTACCTACAGCATAGATGCTGTTCTGGGAGCTTGAACATAAAGCAGTGAAAAAAATGGTTCTGCTCTCAAAAAGCTTATTTTCTACTTGTGAAAGATTAATAAATTAATGAATGTCAAACACTGGCAGGTGTTGTGCTGAATTTAACTGGGTAAGGTTAATAGTGAGCGGGGAGTGGTACTGTTCCTATAGGATGTCAGCAGGCCCCTCTGATAAGAGGGTGTTTGAACAAAGACCTGAAGGAAGGGGATACTTTGGGAAACAGCCACAACAGCTTAGACAGCTCTCTAGGTCTAAGCTAGAGAACACTTGAGTTCTGGGGAGAGGTAAGACACATTGTCAAGGGAAACAGAATTTCCCACCATGCTGGTTCAGTTTGCCCTTCTGGATTCATTCTCTACTCTTCTTCCTGCTATGCTCCCTGGGGAGAGCGGGGGCTGACCCCTAGACTGGATCTCTGGGTCATCCTTGCCATCTGCTGCCTTTCTGTTAGGTTCAGCCAAAAGGAGGCCCCAGAAAATTGGAGTACAGGATGAAAGAAATGGGATACTTATGCTCCAGCTTTCTCAGCCTGGCCACAGTTCTGACAGTGGCTGCATCCCTCTGCCACAGCTCCCATCAGCTTTCCACAGCCCTTTTGTAGTCCATCCTCCCATGCGACCCTCCTGGGTCCCAGTGGGTAGGGGCTCATCAGGCGTATTGCAGGATTAACCTAGGTGAGCACCAACTACCTACCTGTGCCCGAGTGCATTGTACATAGTTGCCACCTAGACTGTCCCTCCCATCAGGATGAGGGATTTGACCCCAGAGGCACCCATCATAGATAAATTGTGGACCGTGGCCTCAGTCTCCTCCCTCAAACTCCAGTTCTGTCGAACTATTCAAAACCAGCAAAGGTAGGGACAGAAATTGAGGTTCTAGAGTCCCCCCATTACTTCCTTAGGACCTCACTGCCCTGGGGGTTTTTCTCCCTAAGATCTAGCCCATAAACTTCCTATGTGAAGGAACTTGACCTACCTAACTCCCAACACCAACAGCTCATTGCCCAGTTCATTTCCTTGATAGTATTTATCACTACTTCCCTGTAGCTCAAATGGTGAAGAATCTGCCTGCAACGCAGGAGACCCAGGTTCAATCCCTGAGTCGGAAAGATCCTCTGGAGAAGGGAATACCCATTCCAGTACTCTTGCCTGGAGAATCTCACGGTTAGAGGACCCTGACAAGCGACAGTCCGTGGGTCGCCAAGTCAGACACAACTGAGTGACTAACTCTACTATCCATCACTACTGGCTTTTCATTGTGTATGTCAGCTCTGTCCACTAGAACGTACATGTCACAAAAGACAAGAACTTCCCTGTTTTATTCTTTGTGAACAGCATCTTAGGCTCAAGTATAGAACTCAAATGTTTCTCAGTAAATGAGAACAGAAATGAGTATAAAGCATCTCTGCTCTCTAGCACCCTCCACAAGGATTATAGCCGTAAGCCTAGACAAATGGCTTAGGGTCACCGGCCTGGGCAGCTACTCTCAGAAGCATCTCAGTACTGCTGGCTTCTCCAGGTGTATGTGGGCAGGAGCCCCAAGCTAGACAAGCAGATAACCCAGGAGTCAGAGAACCACTCAGGTTCCATCTTGCTAAAGGCCCTCAGCTTCTCCATTCCTGAATGGCTAGAGAAGGATTTAGCTAAGAGACATGGTCTTCCAGTCTCAGCATCTATCATACAGAAGAATCAAAATGCAGCTCACCAAACCATCTCCACCAATGACCCAAGAAATCTTGTGGGTGAGTGCTACTGGTTATTTTCCTTCACTTAAGGGCCCCAAGCCTTGGCCCTCCAACTAAGACCGGATTCAGACCAATCAGTATCTCTTTAGCCCCATTCTACTCCACACTATATACCCACCCCACCCATGTGGCACCACTGTCACCAACCAAGCCATCCCCCCTTTACCCCCAAAGAAACCCAAACAGCTCAGAAGTGCATCAATTGACCTTTAATGTCCAAAAGAGGCGTGGATGCAGAGCACAGGAGATGTGGCGGGGTCTCAGCCCCTGCTCCAGAAATGAGGGAGAGATGAACACAAACTAGACATTTCCAACTGGCCACACAAGTCTGGGAGGGCAGGGGGAAACAGATCTAGACATTCATAAAAAAATAAAACCTGAATCAAGCACTCAGCATTGTGCCCACCAAACGATTTGATATGGGGAACTCACTCACCATCCAAGTCCCCACCCTCCCCTGTCAGCATCAAAAAGAAAGCTCAGTACACACTAAAGGCTTGGGAAGGGGGCATTCTCCTGCCTCCCCACCAACCCCAAGGATGGACTTGGAAGAAAAAGAGAATGAGCTGGATCCCAAACCCCCCACAGCATCAACCCTACACATGAGAGTTTTCAATGCAATTTATAAGAATCAATAGCTCAATCAGCAATGACTTCCCCCCCCGCCCCATCCCCCACCCCATCCCTTTTGATCCACAGATAAGATTTCCCCAGCACTCCCCTTGGAATCTCCTACCACTAGTGACCCTGCTCCATCCCCAAATTCCTGGCTTCACCACTACAAGACTGACCTCCTCTGAAGTTCCCCCAAAGCCCCTCAACAGCCCTTTATCACTTCCATCCTGCCTCCCACAAGAGGCTGCCACATTTCACAGTCACTTTCCCTCACCACTGAGACTAGGCTCCAGAATAGATGGTAGCATGGCCACCTCATAATGGGCTATCCTCCTAAAGCCCTCCTGGGAGCAGATGGCCATAGGGCAAGCAGTGTCTAGGCCAGATGGCTGAGGGGGGTGATACCCATACTCACCCCCAAAACAGATGCCCCAGAGGTTAACATAGGTCCACTTATCTACCCATATACCGGAGAGATTCCACAGTCCTGCCCCTCCCTCCCCTCTACCCCAAACCAAAATACACACACACATTCACACACATATACACAGAGGAAAATCAAGGGAAACATTGATTTGGTTTGATTGCTAAGACCTAACTAAGAACTAGTCATCAGAAATTCCCTTGCCAGCCAACTAACAGGGGCTGCTCTAAGAGAACTCCAGAGGAATGAGAAAACCAAGGGCTAAGCAGGGAGCAGACAGGAGGGAAGAATGAAAACAAAACAAACAAACAAAATCCAGCTAATCCTACCCTCAACATCCTCCAAGCATGAGCTCTGGCAGGAAGAATAAAAGAAGGTAATCCACAAAGACACAGCCCTTACTTAGAAACTCTTCTGACAAAGACAGCAAGACAAGTCTGCTCCCCACTCCCACACACCACAGACAAACACGTCTCAGGGCCCCTTAAAGAATCCAGCCCCAACCCCTGCCCCAAGCCGTGGAATCACAGTTCAGTGGAATATTCTCCCTGGTACTAGATCAATCCCCCTACCCTCCATCCTATCCCTCTCTCCTTGTCAATCCTAACACTGTCCCTCCCACAGCCTCCCTGGCCCTCCTAAAGCAGCATCCACCACCAGGAAGAGGCAGCTGCAGTTTTAGTTCCACCTCCAGAAACCTATTTCTTTTCCCCAGCCCTCCTAGTCTTACAGGCTTTGTTGAGGGCTTTTTATTTGTATAGGGAGAGAAAGAGAAAAGGGAGGAGTGGGAGAGATTTCCTAGTGCAATACAACCAAAAAAAAAATTTAAGTCTTGAAAAATAAACATAAAGCAGCCTTCTTCCCCAGGCAACTAAACAGAAAGAAGTTTGGTTTTGTTTACTGCGACATACACATGAAATCGAGTATACAGTCCATGCAGTAGCACAGCCATTGGAGAGGACATCCTGATGCTGGCCCCAGTGCAAAACAGTCCCAGCAACGCTGCCTGCTTGCCATTGCTGCCGCCGCCACTGACACCTTCACTGTGGCCACCTAGCCTGACTTGAAGAGGAGGATTGCAACTTGACCCAAGTAAAAATAGATGAAGTGCTTTGTCTCATGTGTAACGTAGCTGCCAAAATTTCGGCCCACGATACAGTGCCAGGTAGGATTATATTTCTTGTCAAATTCCTAAAAGAAGAATAAAAAGAAGAAAGGTGATTAGGACAGCTGGAGGATGAGAAATCAGAATAAGAGTCTGATTGGTTTAGCTATCACCCCCACCCCACCCCCAGTCTATGGCCTCAGTTCTCTCAACTTCAGGAGCTCAGGTTCTAAGGTTGGCTAGGACACTCCTTCGTTAATAATATAATACCACAAAGGTTCCATTATTTCTCTCTAGAACTTTACACCCCTAACATCTCTTGTCTCTCTAGCTACAGTACTCAAAAGCCCACCCCGCGATTCTTCAGCAAGGGAACCAGAAAAACCAGCAGAATTAAGAATCACTCCAGTGATGTCACACAGCATTGAGTAAGAGAAGCATGTCTCCCTGACTTGCCACTCACCACATTTCACACTACTAAACTAGCATTTCCAAATGCCAAAAACCAAGACACTAGAGCAAAATGAGGACTGAACAGGGAGCAATTCTGTCTAAGCCAACTTTAAAGGCACTGCAGTGCACCAGGCACTATGTGAGCTGTAAGCAAAGAACAAGGGCCTCAGTCATGAGAAGGAGGCAATTCCCTCACTTCTCTCAGGGATCTAAGTTCAACATCAAAAGCCAGCAAGGAAATCCTCAGGACCTAATCAGACAGGCCCTGCCACCCTGTGAACCCAGCAGAAAACAGATGGCTCGGTTCTAGATGCATCCTGCCATGACCGTGAAAGGAGAGCAACCCTCCACCACAGGCTCAGCAATGCTGCCAACCCTGGAGCTCTGTCTGCCAGGAGCTCAACCAACAACTTGTTTAGTTTTCTCACAGCCCCCATACCACATGACTCCAAAAGGTATTGGCAAACAGTGGAAAGGGCATGGATCACCACATAGATCTTTACTCCTAACTGAAGACTGTGTAACATAGGAGACCCATAGTTGCTTCTCCATAAGCAAAATAAGAAAGCAGGACCGGATATAATCTAAGGATTCTCCTCAGAGTCGCTGATTCTACAGTTTCTCCCTGAAAAGAACAGAAAAAGCATCACTCAACAAGGAACCAGCACCCCTAGCAGCTTTGCTGGCTCTGCATCCCTTGGCTACACACACAGAAAAAGTCTCTCAGAACTCCAGTTTCCACTTCTCATACCACACACAGACAACAAAGAGCTCTGTAAAACCCAAGGACACTATACCACCTGTATGGACCATAATGCCATGGCTCTTAGGCATCCTTGGGATACTAGAGCTGACATTATCAGACTGGGACTATGCCACCAATGCACATGGACCCTGACTGGAAATTAGGGACCCTGAGTACCACCTCTTACCTCTAGCTCAGCAGCTTCCTCACTATATACATGTTAACTGTATCTATTCACCCATTCATTCAGGGATTAAATCTACTGCCCCAATAATGCTTATCTATTCAAAAAAAGAAAAAAATATATATATATATATATCTGCTAAGTCACTTCAGTCGTGTCCAACTCTTAGCGACCCCATGGACTGCAGCCTACCAGGCTCCCCCATCTATGGGATTTTCCAGGCAAGAATACTGGAGTGGGGTGCCATTGCCTTCTCCGATAATATATATCTACTGCCCCAATAATGCTCATCTATTAATTTTCAAGCACACCCCTTCCTTAAGAAGGTAGGGAGAAGGTAATTAGTACTTGAGTCCATTTTTTATGGGGGGCAGGGGCGCACAAGTCGACTTGTGGGATCTTAGTTCCCTGACCAGGGACTGAACCCAGGCCACAGCAATGACTGCGCTGAGTCCTAACCAGTGGACCACCAGGGGTCCTTTTATTCTCTTTAAAATCTCTTACATAATGAGAATTACTATAGGGCTACCCCACTTTAAATGATGCAGCTCCCCAAAAATTTGTTTATGATCTTATCCATTCAAAAATCCCTGATCTTCATTTTGAATAGTTCTGAATTGGGACAGTTATATTTAATCCTGAAGCTTCACACCCTGTTGTTCTGCAGTCACATAATTATTCTGTAAACACACACACACCCCAGCACAGTTCCTATTAAGAACTCTTAAGGTGAATGCTTTAGGAAATAAGATTCATTTCCCAATTTACCTGCTCTGCAAGTTCCCAGGGTTCTGTCTGCATGGAATGTACCTACTTTCCTATGTTCCCAGCTCCAGCCCTCCCTGGGGCATAGGTGAGCTATCCCAACCACCAGCCACAGTTCTCCCAGCACACCTTCTTGATATAGGCAGCAATGTCCTTCTCTATGTTGTACTTCTCCATAGCCTGTGTGGCACAGTCAACGGCATCTTGCTGCATGTCCTCAGACATGTCTGCATTCTTGATCACTGCCTTCCGGTCAGACATGGTGACACTGCAGAAGAAGCAGAGAGGTGAGGCTGCAACCCTGTGCTCCCGGCAATGAACAGGAACAGCTGGGTGTGGGGCCTCAGCAGGAGAAAGCATCACAAAAGGTAAGGGCAACAGAAAATACAGACATGAAGCATTATAAGAGGGAGATCCTAAGATTTTAGCAGAAATGACGCTGCCAAGTCTGGGAAACACAAGGCAAATAGTTAAAAAGACGTAAGCCATTAGTTTTTGTATGTAAAATGAGGCTTTCCCAACTCTACATTTATCTATTTCTAGTATTCTGAACAGCATCAACAGCCAAAATACTACAATATACCAGCTCCCAGCTATATCCTTGGGCAAGTTACTTAACCTTTGTGCTCTGTTTATCATCTTAAAATGGGGACTTGAGTTAACCTGAGGGTAAACCAGGTGGTATAACACCTGAACATAATAAGCCCTTGATTTAATGACCATTATTATATCATTGGCATCACAGTAGGAAGATGAATTAGGTCTGGTCCTTGAACAAGTCACTCAGCCTTTCTGCATTTGATTACTTCCATTTTAGCAATGAGGATAGCTCTCTATCAGGAGTTGTTATAAGAATTAAAATGAGGTTATATGAGAACACTGTGAACAAGGGCAGTCTACACAGTGGTCTGTCCCATTAACCAGATTCAGCCCACCACCTGCTTTTTTAAATAGCTTTATAGAAACACCCTACAACGGCAGAACAATGGCAGGGTTGAGCAGTTGCAAGAGATGATATGGCTTGTAATGCCTAAAATATTTACTATCTAGCCCTTCACATAAGAAGACTGCTAAGTCCTAGGCTACCAAATGCCCAATGGTGACAGAGACAACAAAAGGTAAAGAATTACTGCTTGATAACCCTGTCATCTAAGTCACTGCATTCACCCTATAGCAATCAAAGTTCCAGGGCAGACCTTGCATAGTCCCTCCTTAGGATAACAAGAATTCCAAGTGGGCTGCCCAGGGCCTACCTAGCAGTCTATGGCATGTGAAGTGCTTTGCAGGAACAGAGATGAGCTGCAAAATCCTGTCCTCTGTCCTTGACCAGTCCCTGCAGCAAAAATCTATATCCCCCCTCCCAGGTACTATTCCCCTAAGCACCACTCTGCGATCAGCCCAGTGGGCAAAAGATGCTGCTGTTTCAGCCCTGTCTGATACAAAGCTACACATGAACCTGTCTGCTCAAGGAGAGATCCCTGGTATCATTCCAGGCCACCTTGATCTGAGTCCACACTAACCTGTGGGTTGGATGGGTGGAAAGGGAAGCAGAATTCATGACTACTTCAGCCTGCACCAGATGCAAAGGATGCACACATACCAGCTGCTAACCAGGCAGCCCTTTAGTGCATCCAAAGTACAACCTTTGTCTCGCACTGGCAAACTAAGCAGGGCTGGTTCTACTTCAGCAAGAAGTGGCAGAGCAATGGGTTAGTGCCCCAGCGCCCTCTGCTCCCACACTTCTGAGAGAAATAGTCAAGAGCCTCAAGAGGAGTCTGTGAGTACCACCTGGGGCTGAAGAAGAGGTCAGGAGAACCCAGTTCAAGGCCTAACTATTATGACCTGAGGCAAATCAGCATCTTTTTTTAAAAAACAATGGTTGAAATAAATGCAGCACCTTTAATGGGTGTGAGCAAAGGTACAACAGCAACACAGAGAATATTCTAAGGCTAAGTGTGGGGAAAACTAGTGTCACCTGGTGGCCTATCCCAGGTTACCACTCAGAAGGGAGTACTGTTTACAAACCCAAGGGTGAGAGTGCGGCCCGGTTACAGTATGAAATCAGCATCCCTTTTCCCAGCAAGCTAACCTGCTCCACTGCCTCATCCTCAAAAGTCCAAAGGAACAACTTTTGTCACAGTGATTAAAAGCTACCTTACCCTCCAGGAGAGCCTGCAGTTACATAATGTTGGTCTTGTGACTACAATGACACGATTCTTCACCCCTGGCCCCCCAGGAGTCAGAGAGGTGGCCTAGCCCCAGCCTCCCCTGTCCAAGGTGCCAGGGAGAAAAAGGGAAGGGAGGGGCCAACGTAGCCCTTCCCCCCGGGAGAGGGGAGGGGGGAGAAGCTAGAGACCTGGGCCTCCAGACTGAAGGATGACCAGAGGGCCCCAGGCCAGCTGCCTCAGTCACGAGCCAGGGGCTCCTCTAAAAAGCAAAGAGGGCACTCCAGGACAGCTCCCCCTCCTCTATTCCCGGCCTTGCGACAAAAAGGCCAAGCTTTCGAACGACACGACCCGCCCTCCCCAGCCCCCAACACGCACAACGCTTGTATTTCCTCCCTTCGGAACCCCAAGGGGCCGTCTCCCTCCACTACCCCATACTCCAGAGGGCTGCAGTCCCGAAGGCCGGCACCTGGGCGATGAGAAAGCATCCTCCCCGCCACCTCCACCCGGCCGGCCGGCCGCCCTCCCCCGCCCGGCCTGGAGCAGCGCCGGAGTGACGGGGCGTCCTCGCTGCAGGAAGGACGCCCCAGAGGGTGGCGGCGGGAGGAGCCGCGTCACGCCCGAGCCCGCTCCGCCGCTCTCCCTCGGCCCCGACACCATGGCCTCCGTGCGCACAGGAAGATCCCGGGGGGCTGGAGGCCTCACAGCTGCAGCCGGGGGCCCCGGCCGCGCCCCGAGGTCCGAGGGTACAGGGTGGCGCAACCCTTGGCCAGAGAGGCGCCGGGAGCGTCACGCCGAAGCCGGACCTGCTCCGGGCCTCGAGGCCGAACCTAGCGCGTCGGGCCACCGCCCCGGGGCGCCCCCACCCACCGCTCACCTTCACAGAGGCGAGTTCTCGCGGGGCCCCGGGGGAGCAGCGATGGCCTGAGGCAGAGCGCGGGCAGGGCGGTGTCCCTTCGGCTCCTCCGGCAGCAGCCGCCGCCGCCGCCGCGGTCTCCGGCTCCCGCAGGCCCGGGCAGAGCGCTCGCGCCGCCGCCGTCCGCCCTAGAGCTTTCCCGGCCGCCCGCGCTCCACCTCGCGCTCGCCGATCCGCCTGCTCCGCGCTGGCGCCTCACAGCTCCGCTCCGCTCTGCCGCTGCTCTGCCGACGCGCGGTCCCCACTGAAATAGCGCCCCGCCCCCGCCCCCCCGCCGCGCGCGCCGCCGTCCGCGCTCCCCATTGGCTGGGCCCGCCCGGCCCCGCACTGCGGGCTTCTCCCCGCGCCTCTCTCGCCCCACATCTTGTTTCCTCCCACAATGCCTCGGGGCGGAGGGAGGGGGTGGGGAAGGGGAGCGGGAAAGAGTTGGGGGAGGGAGTCGTGGCCTTCAGAAGAGAAGAAAGAAGTATGCAGACCCCTCTACCCAGGGCTGGAGAGGCCAGGCCTAAAAAGGAATAAAGAGGCAAGGTTCAAAGTGAGGGAAAAAGAGGGAGGGGCGTCAAGACCCCAGTCCGAAGAAGAATAAAAAGGAAGAGTGGGATGGAAATTTAAAACGCTGGGAGCAGATGGGAAAGGGGTAGAGATCCTAACCTTTGAAAGAGGAAAGGAAGGAGGTGAAGTCATCAGCCCTAAGGAAAACAGGACTCCTTCCCTCCCCCCAAAACTGTGGGAAGGAGAGGACAGCCGGCACCTCGGAGAAGTAAAGCCATAAACAGCCCCAGGGCTCCCCTCCCCGCACTTTCTGGGAAGGTCTCTTCCCTTCTGCTCTTTGTTCCAGAGTCTTAAGGCCCCGAGACCTAAGCTCCCAGCTGGGACTCCAGCTGCTGTTTAGCTTCAAAAGCAACGGAGGCAGACCCTACGCACTATTGTGAGAGGGGAGGTTTGTCTTCCATACACAGGCCCATGGAAGAGAGATGAAAGTAAGCCATTTTTGGTCAGTCCGCCCTAACCGTCTGGTTAGACGGGACCGGAGGGAGAATGAATAGAACCTCCTAGAGGTACAAACCAAAGTACGTCAGGACTGCCAGGACTCTTAAAATTCACCCCATCCATATTCCTCATCTTATAAACAAGGAACAGAGACGGGGGAGCCCTTGGCATACCACCATGTTTTAGGCCCGGACCTGGCCTCTAGGCTGAAAAGTGATGCTTGTAGGCAGCAGTCCCCCTGGTGTTTGTGGGTGGGTGTGTAAAACACCTGTGCACACTGGGAGAGTGTGTGCCCTCCAGGCCACCCCGCCCACCGCCAAAGGAGAGAGAGAAACAGCTGCTCTTTTCCCCGTCCACCTGCTTCACAAAGGAAGTATCTACTGTAAGGGTTGGTGAGGGTCTTTTGTTGTTGTTGTTATTTAGGCAGTAAGTGCTTTCTGACTCTTGTGACCCCATGGACTGTAGCCAGTCAGGCTCCTCTGTCCGTGGGATTTCCCAGGCAAGAATATTGCAGTGAGTGGCCATTTCCTTCTCCAGGGGATCTTCCTGACCCAGGGATTGAACCGAGTCGCCTACATTGTCAGGCGGATTCTTTACCACTGAGCTATCAGGGAAAACAGAGAGTCTTTATTGGGAGCCAAGCATTTGGCCCACACAGTGTGGTTAAGAAGCTTCCATTCATTCCTGTCAATTTCCCTTCATTGCCCCAAACCATGGTCAGGAAGTTGGACTTTTTCTGGCCCTCTCCTGCTCTTTGGAGCATCATAATTTAGTGTTCATTATGAGTCAGGGGGAACGTGGAAAATCATCCCCTTTCAGTCCCGCTTTTGCAACGTGCTCTATCATCTTCACCCTCAATCAGATTTCAAAGAAACAGGCAAGACCTGTGGTAGCCCCTCACACCAAGGGTATTCTGATGTCAGCCTCAGAGTGAATGAATGGAGGGTGGGGCATATATAGTCCCGAGGAAACTACCTCAGAGAAGTTCAGTGACTTGCCCCAAATTACCTAGCTGGTCAGCGGCAGTATTTAACCCCAGGCTGTCTGTTCCCAGTGCCTACACTTTTAGCTTTTCCACTATCCTAACAGAGAAAAAAATAAAACTATAAATGAGGCATTGGGTGCCCTATTTCATTATACCAGCATTTCCTAAGCTTATCTGACTCCAAAGACCTTCTTTATGCAGACTT